CGCGCCTTCCATCTAAGGCGGACAAGGAGACCTTGCTGAACTTGATGGAGGGCGGTTTGGAGGAGAAGCCCCGAGCGGCTGGGCCCTTCACGGAGTGCTGAGGAGGAGAGCCACGCCCCGGACGCCGCCCGGCTTCACGGTGGCCGAAGAAGTCATCGTGAGGGGCGAGAGGCGAGAGAGAATGTCTCATGTGTGCGTTCTTCGAGGTGACGATATTTGACGTCTTCAGTCTCCGGTCTGGAATCTCCCAGGGGATTGAGTGGTTGAGTAGGGAGAAATGAAGGATCTATCATGATCTATCCTATTCACTCTGACATACGGCCTCATGAAAAAACGGATCCACTGCAACCCGCTGATTAGACTTTGGATGGCCGGAGCTTCTCAATCATCCAGCAATGTCCATCTCAAACGCTCCAAACAGCACTTGGTCCCTCAAAAGCTAGGGATTTGGGTCCTGACCCTTCCATATGAAGGTCTGGCCCCTACTTTGGAGGGTCCAAGGTCGCCTCTGGGAATATGTTGAGAACTTTGCTACCAGGTTTGAGCTTACAGGCTTGGTATCCATGTTCACCAATGGAGTCGAGGGTCGGGCCGAATTCTGCGGGTGGAGGGAATCAAGGAGGACGAACGTATTTTGTCCTCAAGCGGAAGGACGGGAAAGGAATGAAAAGGTGATCCTCCCAAAAATAGATTCGGTTGGAGTGAAATCATGCTGAACATCGAATTTCTTCACTTTGGGAGCTGGTTTAGTGGATGGCGGACTTCAAGAGCAGCTATATATGTGGGACACATGGGACGGTGCCTTGCATGGAACCACGATGGGATTCGTGGGGAATCAGATTCTGATGGGATTCGCGTCGAACAAGAAAAGCAAACTGGTAACGAAGATGCACACATTGCAAAATGCTAATCTAATACACACAATGCTGTGATAGTTCGGAGCTGCATTTATTCAGACTTGGCAGATCAGTTTGGACTCGACAAGTATTGCTGCATAGCTGCGAAATACACAGGCTTGAGTGGGCTTCCTCAAAGGATTGTCCCAAACAATTCCAAAGGCTCCGAGTGGGCAATTTGTCAGAAGTTCGACCTTCGACGTGCCAAGTCTGAGCTTAATTCGCTTTTGGCCAATGATACTACCATTGAAGTATGTCGAACACCGGCAAGTCATTTTAGGGTCCGACTTGTTGTTGCTGGAGAAAGAATCTGCCAGGGGAGCTGGAGATATCTATCTTCTCCCTTAGCAGCATCTTTGTGGACCTGGGATTCTGTCATACAGTTTCCTTTTATCACTGGAGGTAACAGCTTCGGCAGCCAGCAGCAAGGAACAACCCCGCTGACTTGATGCGGACTCGCTGCATCTCATGGACGAAGGAGGGGCTTTTGACACAAACCGTCCTGAAGTAAGACATCCTGCACCGGCTGTCCCCCGCAAGACACTGCAAACAGCCTCCGCTATCCTCCATGCCAGCGGCCTCTATCTCCGCACATGAGTTCTTCGACTGACAGAGTTGAGAACCTGAAGGAAGCCTTAAAAACAAACAAAAGCAGCTTTCCCGATCGTCCGGTGTTACACAGGTGAACCCGGGCTCCGGGCTCGGGCTTCGCGCTCGGCGGTCCGACCGTTTGGGAGGATCGACTGTTTGGACTCCCCTGTCAAACGTGCACAGGGCCAAGAACCTGCAGAGAACACATATGAGCAACACATGACGGTCAAACGGCAACACATTTGGTGCTTTGATTTGGTGGTCCCCCCCCCCGACCGTCGACCAGTCGACCGGAAGAGCCTCCGTTCATCCGAAGCGTCGCCAGTTCTCACCGTCTTCTTGGGAGACGGTTCAGCTGAAGCGATCTTGACATTGAGCTACCTAGAGAGGTTGAAGAGCCCCATAGCCCATCCCATGTGTACCACTACAGGGTCCTATAAGGTCTCTCGACCTCTCTTGCTACTGTATGTTTGAACACATCAGGCTGCCGCTACTCAGGGCTGCGAAGATCATCGTTCGCTGCTACTGCGACTTGCAGGTGTTCAAAGTCACAGGCCGATTGAACGCGGGTGGCAATGACCACTCAGTTGATTTGCCAGTGATCTGCCGAAGTTCACGTCAGGGTGGTGTGGCTCATTCTCACTCTGAGGCCCTGGTGGCCATGGGTTTTCGTGTGGTCACCGAGACGAAGATGTTCGGCGTATCCAAGGTCTCCGGTTTTGGTCGACCGATCCATTTCTGCCACCGTGGAAACGGATGCACGGTCGCCTGGCTTGGCGTGCTCCTTTCGCCACCACTCGACTGGACATCTTCAAAAGGAACGGCCCAACTCCTGCGGAACGTCCCCTTCGGATGCGATCAGATCCTGGTCCAATCACTTCCGCCATTGAAAGGCCCTTTTGCTATTGGTTGAAGCGATAGAGGGGGTTTTGCCGTGAGCAAGCAAGAGGTAGGCCTGGTACCTCTCACTGACCCCTCTATAATACTCCCAAAAGGACGACAAACCTGCATCAACCAGCCACATCCGTCTGCACCGCGAGCCGGTTCTCGTTTCTTCCGAAAACAAATCAATCGGCCTTTTTGCCATTGGCAACAGCCCAGCCCAGACCAAAATGGTGGTTCCGCTCGCCTTCGCTCGCCAGTCTTCCGCTGGTTGCTGGAGTCGCTCTTTGCTCCTTTCCTTCCACTGGTGGGTTCCGAAGGGTTCCGCAACAGGTGATTTCGACTCGCTACTCGACGCAACTGGTCGCTGAAGTGGCCCAAAAGTAAGGTATTCACATCCGTTTGGTCGCCAAACTAGCCAACCCTTATCACTTGGTCAAGAGCCTAGTCAGGCCATGATATGGGTGTGTATTAGTCTTTTGGGGGCCCCCTATCAATGGGTAGACTCCAGCCTGTGCCTGTGCTCCGGGACACTTGTAGCATCCGAGACCACCTACTTAGACCCGCCGAAGTTCAGGTGCCCGGGATGTCTGCCACCTTTCAGTTGATTCGGGGGGATGATCCTCCGCTGGAAGAATACCCGATTATCTACATCTCTGCAGATATTCAAATAACATCTATAGATGCTAACAGATGCTTCAGTCCATGCCATGCCATGCTGACGGCACGCTTGCGCCACCCTCGTGCTGGCGCGGTGGTGCACTGCCTTTGCGGGGGGACGGCTCACGGGGGTTGCAGCGATCAATTAGGGTTCGCTTGGGGAATATCCACCAGAGAATCGGGTTTTGTTGGGCTCCTGATCAAACTTGCTGCTCAAATCCTGAACCCAGACGCGACCTTGGACCCTCAACCCCCCTAGGGGCTGGACCCGAATCCTCTGGAGGGTTCCAGACCCTCAACCCGCTAGCTTTTGAGGGACCTTTGGGCCGTTTGGAGCCACCACTTGGGCCAGGCCCAGAATGCTTGGGCTCTGAAGGGTATGTTTGTTGAGGTCCAATCACCCTTTAGAGAGATGCTCTTAAGGAGGTGGTTCTTGGAAGTCAGTGGTTTTGGGGAGGTTGAGCGTTTGCAAGATCACAACGGGGTTCCTTCGCCGGACATCCAACGTTGAATCAATCCTATGGATGTGTCGAACCCAAAGTTGCGCCCGGGTCGAGGGTCACATTGAGACATTCTCATGTCTACTTTGTGAGGGTTCACCACATTTGTATACATTTGTTAGCATACACTCAACATCACTCAACTCATTGCTGTACCAAAACCTTGGAAAACAAGGGGACGAGCAGACAGTGTGGGGAAGATGAGTTTCCATCAATGGCGGGCTTCTTCCAGGATGTCGTATGCAATGGTTGGCTCCTTGTGCATATACCCAGATTTTCCAACTTTGCAACATTGCTGCATTTTCATCTATGAAACCGGCCAAAAGGCAGAAGATTTGCACAGTTGGAAGATCCAGGTATGATCATGTTGAAATCAGTATCGGGTTTAGTCGTGGGACTGAATGGCAAACCATTCTCTCTATGCCAAGACTTTTGAAGCCGCAACCTCTCAGAAGAGCTGGAGACGCCAGTGAGACCGGCGATTTTGCCCCCGAGGCCCCACTGAACAGTTCGGAAAAAAGGGACTTCACCGAAGATCGCTCGACCCGGTGCGGCTCTTGTCTCGGGTCAATAGTCTCGCAATGGGCGCAAGCGCGATGGGTGCAAGAGCCACTTTGGTTTCTCTTTTTTCTCCAAAACAGTATGGACACACTTAGGGAGTTCTTACGGTAATAGTTAAGCACCAGGGCTAGATCGAGGTGACGGCATACTTGAGTTTCATCTTCACATCGGAGATCGGAGAGATAGGGGTACCCACCTGCAGATCCAACGTCTCAGGGTCCGGAGGATCTCTTTTCATCTGCGACCCTCCGCGCCAGCGGCGGCCGTGACCGACACCCATCAACGTTTGCGGGCATATCTAGTCCCAGGCAGGTCGTGTTTGGGACCGTTTTGACATGCCGACTTGCTGGCAGCCTTTGACTGTAGGGTAGGGATCGATCTTGCGGTGGGATCACCTGCAAATTCCCTTAAGGAATACATGTATTATAGACCGGACAATTCCCTTAAGGAGCACGTGTATTTTGGAGATTGGACAATTCAAGCAAATTTCCCCACTTCCCACTTTCAGATCTGGATCTGAACATTCCCCTTTCCGCCACTTTGAAACGACTTTGGTTGGTGGCGGATGACCCCCCAAACCCTTTTTCTGAGCCAGGTCTTCCCACGAACGGATGCTTCGAACCGGTGGAAGCACGATGGGAAACGGCTGACTTCAGCCTGATGCGAGTTCCGCGACGATGGGTATGTCGTACCAGGACCGCGTTCTGTGACCCAAAAGCGGTTTCAGTATGTTTCAGTATTATATCCCAGACACTCCATGGGACTGCCATATATGCCGATCAGTTGGGGTGGTTTGAGGGGTCAATGTAGGCATATATGGCATACATGGAGCGTCTGGGTATGCACATTATCCGGTATGATGTGTGAGTCACTTCCAAGCAAGTGTCTCCGTGAGCTTGAATGGAAGCATAGAACCTGTTTATTAGGAAGTGTGGAGGTTACGTGCTGCTCACGTAGATCAAGATGCTTGTATAGACCGTTTTATCGAGAAAAAGATCAATATTTTTTTTCCTGGTACTTTTGCGTATTTTGTGATCACCGCACAGCAACCAGTGACGAATTTGACCGTTGTGCCCGGCTGCGGCTTGCGTCTCCTGGCCGCTTGGCACCCTCTCAAGGTGTTGATCCAAGCATCCAATTGTCATCCTCGCGCCGCATCTCGTTGCACTTGTCTCATGGCAGCGCTCTTGTCCCGCGTCGACACTGACAGCGAGCCGGAGCTCGTGGTGTCCCGGCGAAGCTGGCCTACAGTGACGCTAGGCGGACAGAGCCGGGCCCGCGACACTGGCATCGCGGAGACTTGAGGTCTTGTACCGTGTGGGTGTGTATTTTAATGCCCATACACTCCATGGGACTGCCATATATGCCGCCCCATTGACCCCCCTGGCACCACCCCAACTGATCGGCATATATGGCATACATGGAGCGTCTGGGATAGGGAGACTCCCAATCAGTTCTCTTTCCCTTCTTCCAGGGGCCCCGGGGGTTTTGGGAGGTCTCCCAATAGACATAGACGCCCATGTTGCTATTTTTTTTTTGGGAAGCAGTGCACTGTTGATCCAAGCTGGAAGGAGAGTAGTGAGCCTAAGCGCAAGACCAGATTCAACCTAGTTCAGAAACTCAACCCAAGCACATCTAGCGGCGACGGATGAGCAATCCGTTGCCACAGCATGGTGGCGGGCAATCCGTTGCACGTTGCACATATGGGGGGTCAAGACCTGGAGCCGCAGTCCACCATGTAACCTGACCTGGTGTCCTGGTTTTGATCCACAGCCATAAACCTGGAGACCCTCCGTTCCGACATTGACAAGGTCTGTCCTCCTCTAGCTCCGGACGCTCCGCACCGGTCGCTCCGCACCGACCTCCCGACCGATGCACCGGTGGCCGAGGAAGCGCACCTTGGCCGTGGCCGGTGTGCTGGCCGCGGTCTTGGGTGTGGCCACCTGGCGCCAGTCCAACCAATGCCTCAACCTTGGCGGTTTGCAGGGGAAGACTGAGGTGGATGTGCGATCGAAGGGGGCGCGTTTGTCGCGTGGATGTGCTTCCTGTGGATGTGGGGGGGTTGGATGTGGCAGGATGGGGGGGGGATTGTCCATGCGGTTTGATGATGCAGCCAATGCCTGAGTTTGGTTTAGAGGATAGCAAATAGTTGGCACCAGAGGAAACTGAGTAATAGCGGGCAATGTGCCATGCGCTGGTCCTGGGAGTCCAGTCGATTTCATAGGCGTTCCTTCACCTGCAAACACCCGGCAGAGCCCACTTCCTCTCTCCCTCGCTCCCCCGGCTCCAGGTGGAAATGGATGCGGCTCTCCAGCACACGGCTGAAAAGCTCATGAAGGCCGCTCCGCCCCGGTCCCTTCGTTCCACTCGGCTCCCTGAACCGGCTCTCTGTTCGGAGCTCCGACCTCGGCTCCCGTCCGTCGCAGGGCCCGGAAGCCCACAATCGCACCCTGGCGGAAGACACGGTCTTGCGGGCGATGAAGCATGCGGGCCATGATGCACAGAAGAACTGGGAGGAGAGAGACAGAAAACCCACCCGGGCGGGCGGGAAAACCCCGGCGGAGACAGAGGCTCTGTCGGCCGGTTCAGGTGTGTTGTGGAGTTGAGTCGTGCAGAAGGCTGAGGCAACCGGTAGTCATGGTGTTCCCAGAACTTCCATTAACTCATTCAAAAAACACCTGGTATGTCATGGTCCAACACTGTACGGGTGGTAAAATGAGTCATTTGGATAGGGTCATGGATCTTCATGGATCCATCATTTCGGTGGATTTCGTGTACGACATGAGTGATGTGGTAGACCCTGCCAGGGCAGGAGCTGCCAGCGGCAGAGGGGGCAGGAAGACTTCCGCCTTTTCAGAAGTCCAAGTCATGGGTCCCCTGGAGGCCGGACTGGCTGGAGGGTTTCAACATCTCCGGAGGGTGTACGAACCATGCAGACCTTGAAGGCATGTAGACCTTGTGTTCACCCTGTTTTTCATCCATGATGCACAGCTTTTGGTCCATTTCCTCTCTTGTGAGGGGACAAGAAAACGTCGCCTCTTTGTCATTCAACTGGCAGTGAAGCTTCACACAACGGAGATTTGAGTATATTGATGGGTGATGAGCGGATACACCAGGTGCCGGCTCGCCGCTACCATAGAGTTTTCAGGAGTTTTTTTCTGCTTGATCCACCCTCCAACAACCCAAAAATGGAGACTTCAAGGTGGTAGCTGGTGAGCGAAGTCGGATGCTGGTCCTGGGCGTGGGTGGTCCTGGGCGTGGGTGGTCCTGTGCCGCCAGCCGTTCACCCTCCACCCGGGCCACCCCCGCTGGTGGCGCGCTTCTGTGGCGGAAAGGAGCACCATATCCGAAAGTTGGACACCTTGGCCACCTTGAAGGATATCCAGGCAGCTCCTTTAAGGGGCCTTGGATGGGTGGAGACACGTGGGGCCGACGACCGGACGTGTCCCATCAAGTCGGTGGGGAACAACCAGCGGGAGATTTGTGTGGGAGGGCGAATCAATGAAATTGCCATAGCCTGAAGTTGCTTTCGTAGATTCTTTTTTAAATGTTTGTTGGGGAGAGAGGCGTGGCCATGTTCTGGGCAGTCACGTGCTCCTAGACAAGCGGATTGACATTTTGTCCGCTTCTGCGAAGTCAGGAAGGCATCCCCTTTCTTGCCGCCGCAAAAAACACACACCACACGACCATGGTTCAGTCAGAGTCAGGAAAGATGACAATGTCAATTTTGTGCGCCGGACACGGGGGAGATGCTTGCGGGATCAAAGCCACACGGTGAATCTGCTGAAAGGACACATTTAAAACACAAACAACCCATCAAACGCAGACGCTCCATGTATGCCATACATGCCTCCATTGGGGTGGTGCCAGGGGTGTCAATGGGGCGGCATATATGGCAGTCCCATGGAGTGTGTGGGAAATGGGGTGTGAAATCTTTCATGCCAAAAGCTTTAGCTCCGCTGCACATGTCGAAGAATCGTCCGTGACCCGGCTGGGAAGAGGTGGTCGCAGAATTCGGTTTCATCTGATTTCTAGCTCCAAAACTTCTAATGACTCACTTTACCCCACCTGGAAGTCATAATCCACACAATCCACCACTACCATAGACCATAGACCATAGTAGTAAAATGAGTCATTTGGAGTCTTAGGGTAATGATTTCTATACCCTCTGTGACCCAGTCGCTCCTGAAAAGAGTTGATCTCAGGACGGCCAGCGTCGGACCTGGGACCTGGTTGGGGCACCACCAGGAAGCACCTGTGTGTGCTGGGTGCGGAACCAATCTCCTTCTTCCTGGGTGAAGCTCGTGCCATGCTGCGTGCTCATGCTGCCGGCCAGGCGGTGAAAGACTTCCGCCGGGGACAGCACAACGAGGAGGCGGGGAACATCGAATGCGCCTTCAACGTGCTTGAGGCGTGGCATCGGGGATCGAAGGGTTTGGTGTCGCGGGGAGAAGAGAAGAGTGAGGACATGGTGAGGTGACTGAGCCGGTGGCCCTGAAGTAGGGCCTCCATAGGCTGGACACTCAAACACGTTTCCATTTGAGGTTCCGGATTCTTCTGGGGGAGCAAGCAGTTCGTTTGTCGCCAGCCTTTGCTGATCCGAGTGCCGGCAATCACGGATCAGCCGGTCTGGCCAACTCGCGACTCAGTCCGATGGCACATGAGACACGCTGGCACCTCGGCGTTCGCGTCGCTGTTGTGACCCATCTCCCGCCAGCTTGGCCTTCAAGCGGTGAGTCACCCATTTCACCCAGCTTGTCACCAAGCTTGTCACACATCTCCCGCCCGCCTTCGCTGCTAGAGGCCTTTGTCTCGGTCATGGGCATGGGCGACGACATCAACGGCATCATCCGCACCTGCCCTCCACCCCGGGACGGTGAGTCCGAATTGGCCTGCCAGGTGAGGGGGTTCGACGTTCGACGTGGTCCCTGAGATCTGAAGAAGTCAGATGTCAGCACTCCGTTGGCTGATTCCGTCTTCTAATAAGTATAAGACATTGCTGAATCTGAGATTGGGGCAAGTGCTTACCATATGTTACCATAAACTATATACGGTATACCATTTCAACTAATTACCATACACTTCGAAAATCATAGGCCCTCGAAATCCCTCGAATCAGTTAAGAAGAACGATGGGCTTCCCTGAACATTCTTTGCTGGGTTCCGTTTTCTTTCCACCTGCGAGGCCAGGGGTTTGAGTCCACCGATCCACTTATGTATAAGCAGAACAAGAGGCGTGCCAACCTGGTCAGTCTGTTTGGGGCTAGAGACGTCATGGAAACGTCAAATGTCTTCCAACCCAAACCTATACCCTAGAAGTCCAAAGACCATCTTTGGCACCGAAGTTTCCAGGCGATTCCTGGACTCGGATCACCTAGTGCCTATAGTGCCTAGTTAGACCATTTAAAGCATGGTCGACTGGAGGGATCTACGTCCCCTTTCAGCTTGGCCCTTCAGCTTTTTCCCCCCGCATCTCCACACCGACCTCAGCTGCATCCCACTCGCATCCGCGCCATTCCCCAGCCGCTCCCTGCCGCAGGTCGATGCGTCGATCTTGGTGGCCTGGGTGGGCAACTTGGCGGCGAAGATCTCCTTGGCGGCCTCCAACTGCGCCTTGACGCTCAACGTGGACTCCGTCTGCGCGGCAGGCGGACCACGGAGAGCGGAGCCGCGGAGCGGACCGTGCGGGCTGGGTGTGGCGGCTGCAATGTGGGGGGGGGGCTGGGTGTGGGAGACTCCATGGAGGTTCTATAGGTTTTGGGTTTTGGCGTTTTTGCAGTGAAGTTCAGAGGGTTTTTTTCGAATGAGCTTTTCTGAGGTGCTAATGAGGTCCGTCCGCACTGAGTGCATGGTGGTTGTCAGTTGATAGGATTGATAGGATTGATAGGTCCTTAGGTCCTCTAGGAAGACTGAATACTCCGTGCACTTTCCCCTTCTGGGAGCTGTTGCTTCATGTTGCTTCTAGCTTCATGTTGCTTCACTCCTTCTGGGAGCTTCATACTTGCAAAGTCTTCCTCCGTACCTGTGCGACCTGCTTGGCCTGTTTCTTCGTCGCTGCTGGTCGGACGCCCACGCCGCGGTGCTGTTCACCCTTCCACAACCCACTCGAAGACGGGCATCGAAGATGAGATTTGGTGATCGCCCTGACCGTTTTCCCCCACCAAAACCAAGGAGGCCTTCACCGGCCAAAAACCACATGCTATTTCCTGGGGAACACCAGGTGGGGGTCGAACGATGGGCACCGATGTCCACGGCCGAAGGGCCGACAAAGACCTGACACCTGTAGTAAAGGCCATATGTTTGGATGGTTGACACTTCCCTCATGCCATGACTCAAAGGTACTGCCAAATGGTTTTACGCTTTACTGCCTTTCATGGTGATCGGGCAGCCGATCCCTCGGAACATCATGGAACACCATTTTTGAACTGTTCATCGCGAACATGACGTTGCTTCAGAAGTGAGGGCTCAAAGCAATCGCCACACGCATCAACACAGCCCCCGACCCCACCTGCAGGTGCCGAAACACCGGCACCCGCGAAGCAACATCATGCCTGTAGCAATCACCACAAGGCTTGCGCCGGCCAAACAAAAGCCAGGGCCAGCACCTGCTTTTGTTATCTTTTGTCAACTTCAATTCCAACAAAAAGATCTGCCCAGACGCTCCAAACAGACCAGAAGGTCCCTCAAGTCCATGGGGATTTGAGGGTCCGGACCCCTCCATATGAGGGTGCGGCCCCTAGTTAGGAGGGTCCAAGGTCGCGTCTGGGTACCTCATTTGAGGTCTTTTTCTTTCACACTGAGACGGACACGTCACATGGAAGTGGAACACCTCCTGTTTGTAACGTCTTTCAAGAACCATGCCATCCACTTCCATTGTCATGTCGTCAGAGTGTCAAACAAGAACACGGACGTCCACGATGGTATAGTGGACCATCACTGACCGATTCCGCTTCGCCGCGAAGCGTTCGCGATCGCGACCGTGCCATGGCAAAAAAAAGAAGACAGCAGCTGGAACCACTGTAGTGTCACTCTTTATGTGAGAACCACACACACCGAAGTGGCGGCAGTGCGAACCTCTGCAGGGTGCTACCTCGTTTCTGCTCGCGCCAGGCGTGACGGGCGTGGTCTCCGCCTTCGGCGAGATCTCCGCCGGTGCGGAAGGGAGGGGGACGTCGTCGTCGGCGCCGGCGGCCGTTCCCGGGACGGCTGGCGGAAGGGATCGATGCGCAGAGGGGTTCAGGTCTTGGAGCGAAGGTGCCTGGAATGTCAGGAGGGTTTTGGGGATCACTGGAGGAAGAGGATGTTCGGAAGCTTCTGCTCTGGTGGGTCACACTGGTCATTGCCACCCATGAGGTGGTGCTGGTCACACCTGCGCTGACGACGAATGGAGACTCGCCCAACGTCGTACCGCAAAAAACACCGAAGACAATGGATGAAGCCGTCGTGGCGAATGGAAGACACGACCGTTTGGCCGCTGCCCAGTCGGTTGAGATACCACGGTGCGTGAGACCAAACCTGAAGGGAAGCCCTGGAGGCCGTCTTGGAAAACAGGGTGTGACCAGGAGAACTGGCACAGGAGAACTGGTGCATGAGCAGTATGACTCAAGTCCCTGCTTAGCAAGTATGGACACTGCTGGATGTGGAAGACCATCGTCCTAAAAAACCAGGGTGTGGTTTTCATGGTCCTTCAGCGGTTTTTTCCTCGCCAGTTCCTCGTTCCCGCCCGGGACGAAAAGAGGGTTTTCGCGGCTCGGATGGACGCCACGTGCTAGGCGCATGCTTGGGTGCCGTGACTTGTTCACCGACCCCTCCAGCCTTGACCACCACCAAGATCAGTGCCTGGGAGGACCAGGACAGATGCGGACAGAGTGTAGGGTGACCTACAGGAGGATTGATCCAGTATCGAATTGTCCGAATTGTTTTTTTGTTCCCAAGATGTTGAACGTCCAGAGTGATGGATGATGTGGAGATGGTTGGATCGCTAGTACAATTTGGCAAGCCTTGAAAGAGACACAGGTAAATTTGGTCGGCACGAATCAATAGACTCTCCTGCAAGTCTTTTCGATGCATCACCCTCTGTAGACCGATCTCTTGGGAGGTTTTACTACTACTACTACTACTGCTACTACTACTACTACTAGTACTAGTACTAGTACTAGTACTACTACTACTACTACCACCACTACTACTACTACTACTAGTACTAGTACTAGTACTAGTACTATAGTACTACTACTACTACCACCACCACTAATACTACTACTACTACTACTATTACTACTACTACTACCACCACTACTACCACTACTACCACTACTACCACTACTACCACTACTACCACTACTACCACCTACGGCCTACGACCTACTACCTACTAACTACTAACTACTAACTACCAACTACCAACTACCAACTACTAATTACCAACTACTAACTACTAACTACTACTAACTACTACTTACTACTACTTACTACTACTTACTATTACTTACTACTACTACTACTACTACTACTCCTACTCCTACTCCTGCTACTGCTACTGCTACTGCTACTGCTACTGCTACTGCTACTGCTACTGCTACTGCACTGCCACTGCTACTGCTACTGCTACTGCTACTGCTACTGCTACTGCTACTGCTACTGCTACTGCTATTGCTCCTGCTGCTACTGCTACTGCTACTGCTACTACTACTATTGGTACTGGTACTGGTACTGGTACCGGACAGGGAACCAAAATCGGTGACATGATGTTTGATGCTAGATGACGCGAGTATGTAGACGCTTTTGGTGGTTCTGTTCCTTCTACATTGAAAGGGTCATGGTTTTGTAGATGGCCCCGAAAGCAGGATGATCTATATATATATATAAGGGAGTGTATGATTTCAGGATATTCAAGTGCCATAAAAGTAATTTCTGTTTTTCCGCTTCCATGACTATTCTCCACTTCCATCTATATTTCAGGTGTATGATTTCAGGGCCTGTGATGCCCTTCATGCCCGCGCCGCACCGAGCGGCCGCCTGACCCATTCAGATCCCAAGGGCCCGGTACCATGCCGCAGTTTTGGTAGGTGCTTCAGAATGGTTGGAACCGTAGACCAAAGGATACCAAACGTTAAAACCTTTTGTTTTTTTCTGGAGAAGTGGTGTTCCTGGAGCTCCTTGTGTTCTTCTTTTGGGGGGGGCCCGCCTTCGCTTCGCTCAATCTCACCGGACCGCCTCTTTCGATTCGTTCGGGAGCAACGCGCGGTGTCCGCGGCCTCTAGGTGTCCTGGGTGACCAGACGGTGCGCGGTGCTGCACCGGGACGACGTCTGTTGATCGGCGAGGGAACCATCGGCAACGGCGTGCAGTGCGGCATCGACGTGGGCCGCTTGGGTGGAGACGTGAGACGTTGTGAGACGTGAACTGTGCGGAACGTGACGGAGTGGTGCAGATGGGAAGCTCCAAAAATCCAACATTGGGGGCGGAGAGTTCGACGACGACATCTGCAACATGTATAAGTTCGCTGTTCTATTTATTTCTATTATCTTTTAAGTATGTTCCTTTGTGCCAATAAGGTTTGGTTGGAGGTTGGTGTTTATGTTTTTTGTTGTTTTGACACAACAAGCCGTGTGTGACCCACCATGGGTGCACGACATGCGCGCATGACCCATGCGTGGTGGGTTTTGGATGGTTCTGGTGTGCAGTTTCTGGGCCTTCCTTTGAAGCAGAAAGCATGGTTTGCAGGCATATGATAACACAAAGGGTATCGTTTTATATGAACTCAAGTAATTGTGGACTTGTTATGACAGGACACTCGGACCAATCGAATGTTTTCATCGTTGGCCTTTTGCACCTTTGCGACCGAAAACAGTTCTAGTTCAACAATAATTCAAGGTGTCTATCAGAAAGACTATCATAACATCAAAATGATCACATTTCTTTGTAAGTCAATTCATAACATATGTTTATTTGTTTTTTCAGTAGAAAAAGGACTCTTTCAATCCTTGAAACCAGGCATGGTGGCCGCCAACATCGCGAACATGGGACTTGCAGCTTGGAGGGACATGGGTCATGGGACTTGCAGCTTTCGTGTCAAACGAAAGGTGACCAAGGCCTCGTTGGTGGACCGACCAAGGCCTCGTAGAGCCTCGTAAGGCCTGCTGATGGTGCTAGCCGGGGTCCAAGTTGGTGAGTGGCTTTTCCTTGAAAAATACGGCCTTTCGACAGGAAGGCCCCGTACGGAGAGGTCGCAATAATATGACCAAGGAAAAACACACGCATCTTTGCAAATCCCTGACTGTGCTAGCAAGACAACTGACTGTGCTAGCTGGGATTTATACCAGGACCATCCTGTCTGGGTGTCTGAAGATCCCGGATAGTAGTGCAGGGTAGTCCAGCCAGGACACCCAGATGGTCGGATGGTCCAGGTTTTCAATGGTACCCCCAAAAACCGGTGGACTGCTTTCAGTCCTTCTGGCTCACACCTAACCGGGTCCGGTGCTTCACCACCACCTGCCCGAGGCCATCAACAAGGCCGTCAACGTGAACCGCTGCGGGAAGTTCGCCACGGAGACGCTTGTTCGTCTTGGTTTTTGCGGCGGAAGGTCTCGGATTCGACTGAGGCTTTTTGGATTGTTTTGGACCTTTCTCCCAATGTCCGATCGCACAGCTCGCGGAAACACGCAGGTCGAAGAGGCTTCGATGGACGACCGCCGGTGAAGTCAGCTCATATGTTGGTCGTCGTGACCGTGGTGGTTTAGCACGAAAAAAGAACACGTCGATCCCACCCAACACCTGCAGTTCCATGTCCCAACACCAGCAGTTACATTTCCCTTCCAGTACCCAGACCCGACCTGTCTGAGACTGCGATATATACATATATGCCGTCCCAGAAAGACCCCCCTGGTACCACCCCGATCGGCCATTTTTCAGCAGGACCCGCCTGGCAGTCCCAGACGTGTCGTGTCTGGGGTAGGGATGAACCCAATTGGGGGTCGCTCCGGTCCGTCCCGCTCCCCAGACGAACGTCATTCTTTTCCACCACGCCATGCGAGCGTTGGCGCCCTTCGTCTGCTCGACGAAACGACGGAGTCTGCGCCACGCCATGGGAGCTCGGTTCGGTCTCCCGGACATCGGCGGTTTTGGACCTTACTAGTAGTAACAGGTGCCTTACTAGTAGTAACAAGAAGCTACTAGGAACAAGTGCATCGCTTCTAGTAACAAGCCTGGTGGGTTCGGTTTGGAACATCGATCACTCTATCCCAGACGCGGCACGCCAGGGACTGCCAGGGGGGTCCTGCCGATCAGGTGAGGTGGGGGCAGGGGGGGTCAATGGGGCGGCATATACTGGCATATACCAGGACCCTCTAAGGGGTGTCCAATGGACTACCCCACACTACCTATAGGCTTCCATTGGGCACCCCTTAGAGGGTCCTGGTACATGATACATGGGGTGTCATTCTATTACACACCGATCTGCCTGCAAACCCACCCACGACGGAGGATGTTGCCATCAGCCCAGGAAGCAGCCTCTGAACGTCCTCAAGGGCATCCCCGATGCCTTGTGCACCGTGGACATTGCGGGAGCTGTGGCTTACATCAGTCAGGTCGTCTCTTGGACCTAACGTCGCAGGATGGAGGGACGCGCACGCGACGCGCATGCGACACAACTGGATGGAGCGGACCAAGGTGGTCTCTGACACCCGAACACTCCAGTTTCATCCAGTTTTATGAACTTGTCGAAGTAGGTTAGGGCTTTCCCAGATGGATTGCTTTGATGGCATGCGGCTTCGCAGGTCAAGCTGGGCTTTGTTTCCTTACATCATTCGGGGAACATCCGACCAAAAAGCAGCACATGTCCCAACCACCGCCCCATGGATCACTGGCCACCGGCGGGAGGTGGAGACCGGAGACGCGCGGCGCCGCTTAGAAGCGGCGATGATGCGATGACGCGAACTCGCTCGGAACGTGCATGATGAGGTGACCTTCATCAACCTCATCGTGGTGCACTGCCAGGTGGAGTTTGAGAGCTGGGGTGGGAGATGGTGGGCGCAGAGAGATGGTGGACTGACTTCCAGAGCTGACCGAAGCACGTAATGGATTTTGTTCGGAAGTGTTTGGAAGCTATTCGAAGATGAGGACTTTTCTTGTTGGATGCCTTTAGCAGCTCCATTGCAAGGACATCCTGTGTCCTCCTCTTCTTCCGGGTTGTTGGAGGCTTGCCCCACCGACTTCGGTGGCTGCGTCAATGTCGCCCCGCGCCTTACGACCGTCCAGGACTTCTTGGACGTGAACGCCTTGTGCGCCGGCTCCATCGCCGCCATCACCACCGGCGCCTCGGCCATCGCCGCCTACAGCGGCGCGCTGCACGCGGCCTGCCGCTACAACGGGCTCCTGAAGCAGCCGACGCCCGGTGGAGCGAAGGGCTTTCTGGGTGACAGAGTGATGTGGGTATTAAAATCAGGCAACGACCCAACCCATGGCTTCGGAATCTCCTGGCTTAAACATTTCACATCCATCATGAACACGTTGGTCAAACCGTCCTCCTCCTCAAAACCGACCCACCGGCGTTGTCCAGAACACCGTCTCCAACGGTCCACCGACCCAACGGGTGACGTGACGAGAGACGAGACGTGAACGTGACCACCCACTGGGCCGTCCGGGCCGCGCTTCGGAGCGTTTTGGGGATCGCGTTTCGTCTGACGAAACTTCCGGCCGATCCCAGGAAGGCCGTGGCGAAGATCAACGAGCTTTGGACGTTGCCCGATCCTCTCCACCGCCGCCTTGAGGAGACGGAGGCAGATGAGCCCACGCCTGCCTTGGAGGAGGGGGAGAAGCGAACAAACCTGGAAGGGAGGGAGCTGGTGGGGTGGAAGGCCATGACTCCTGTGAGGGAAATGAACCCCAAGCAAACCGCGATGTGTGTCAGGTTCCAGGGTTCTCACCACTCTCTCAGAATCCGTACAGATCCGGATGATGAAAAAGTGTCACCTACCTGCACTACCAACATGGACCTCCAGCAAGGACACCCAGACAGGATGATCCTGACTCCTGACAGTTGTTTTTTTGATGTGGTTGCATTGTAGTAGCCTTCTCAAGGACGTCTTAATTGCCACAGACCTGTAGATGCAGGCCTCAACATCCTTCCATTGCATTCACCGCTGTTCTTGGGCAAGTTGCAAGATGGCAAGAACATTCTAGATTCTGGATGGGATCCCAAAGTGACAAACCACGCCAAAAGACACGCCACGCCATCTTGAGCAGCTGAACTGAGTCAGGAGAGCCTGAAGACCATCCGTGAGACTCGCAAGAACTTGGATCAACACTTGGCCCATTTGGGGATGAACTTCTCCTCCTTCAACACCTACAGCCAGGCCTGGACAGAGCATGAGGACGGACACACATGCAACGAGGAGACCTGGATCTTCCAACTGTGGAGACATGTTTTAGTCTGCCTTTTCATCCGTACAAAATCCGCCAAAAGACAGAACTTTGGCATAGTTGGAAGGGCATATCTCATCCTTCTCGTCTCTGGACCCATGGGATTCTCCGATGCATCCGGGGATCGGCTTGATTTTGGGGTGGACGAGTTGGACAGATGGGCACATGAGTCGCAGTTGGTTGGACCGGACCTGGGTTGAAGGGGATGGGATGATGGAGGGCCCTTTCAGGGGAGGCGCTAGCTAGGCCACCTTGTTTTCATCCGCTTGGGAGGGGGGTGCCTTTCCCTTGATTCGTGAAGCAGTTGTTCCCATCCTGGTCCGCACGGGACGGCACGTGAGGCGGGACGGGTGATGGGTTGCCTTCAAGGATGTCGAACGGCACCGCGGAGAAAAAGCCAGCTGCAAAAGTGATCAATGCGTAATTTGACCACTCTGATCTCATTTTTTGTGGTTTTCAGAATTGTGGGTGTTGCTGTTCACGGGCCAGCCGTTCTGAAGACTGAAGAAAAAGGAAAAAGACAGCCCATGCACTCCAAAAAAAGGCGGAACTGTTGACTGCGCCCCCTTCCAAACCCCTCGCGTGGACTGGGGGCCATGATCACATCCAACCCAAACCCGTGAGGCCGACAAAGAGACCTTGCTGAACCTGATGGAAGGCGGGATGGAGAAGCCTCGTGCCGCCTGGCCCTTTCAGGAGTGCTAAGGGAGCCGAAGATCGCTTCCTTAGGCGCTGAGCTGAGTGCTGCGCTGCGTTCGTACGAACCGGGGGAGAGTGGACTCCCGTGACCGGTGTCGGGGGTGGAGAACTGGCTCAGGGCCACTGAGGGGCCACTGGACAAGCGTATTTGGGGACGGCGTTGGAAGTTCGAGATAGGCGGCCAAGGGTCTGCATGACATGGACATGGCATGGACATGGCATGAATGGCTGAGGACTGCAAAGGCAAACATATGGTCAGCATCGCTCATGTAGGGGGTCAAAGCCCAATATTGAGACACCAATGCAATATCTCTCTCGCGATCAAGACATTGACAGGTTGACTAGTCCAGGGTTTTGGCCAATAGTGAACATCAATTCTGAATATAAGACGCACTTGTTCTTCGTCAAAGTTCTCCACTCCCACGCAGCCCTGCTCCCAACAGTGCTGGCATAGAAATTTCTACAATTCATGGCGGCCAATGAACCTGCCATCGTCCTCAGGATGAAAGTGCATTTTGGCACCCAAACATCTCAAGCACATCAACTTTAAGTTGATGAGTCCACTCTGATGTTCTTCTCCGCAAGGTCCTGAGGTGTCACAGGGAGGAACGAATCTGTGTGGCAATGTCCATTCAATTCACCCTCACCCGTGACTCACGAATCTTTTGCGCATGGCTGATGTGGGAAGTCGTCAGATTCTCCATGTAGGTATATGAATCTCACCCACATTCATGGTAAGCGTCATAGATCTTATCGTAGTAGGGTCATGGCTGATTTTTCTTGGAGGGTTTATGGTAGTCAGGTTCTCCATTCATGGCAGACAAACCCTCCAAGATCTTGGGTCTTTTCTGGCAAGATCTTGGGCACTGTTCTAGTCCAGCCCCTCCTGAGGTCTCCTCTAGTACACTTCCAGTGTTGGGGAAAGGCTGTTCTGAAGGTTTTCAGCTCCGAATCTGGAGGGCTTAAGACATGACGAGCTGTATACCAATTGCGAGGTGTAGAAACACACAGCTCGTCTTGTCGCCCATCCGGGTCCCACGCCAACGACGACGAGACCAGGCCTGGTCGCTCGAACTGGCATCAGATGGTTCGAGCCAACTGGCCGAGAGCAGGCCTGGAGGAGACCTCAGGTGGTCTCCTCTCTATCGTTCCAGGTCGACTGAAACCCGGGTGGTGCGTTGGTTTCGGGTTTCGGGTTGAGCCAGATCCACCACGGTGGAGTCAGAAGGACATATGTTGTTTCACTCGTTTTTTGGGTGAAGTGTTAATTGGGTATCACGGTAGGGCAGGTTTATCTATAGAATCGAATGGGTGCTTGGCTTCGAAGTCCTGCTCAATGTTCCGGTCATGGCTTCAAAAGAGACCCCTGAAGGTTGTGGTTTCGACATTGGATGAAGTGGGATAATTTTTTGCAGAAGGCTGAAGGCTGTTCATCTATTTTGTAAAAAAACAATCCTGACCCCCGTCCCCTGCAGCAGTCCATTGCAACCGGAATGCGGCGGCACCTGATGCCGAAGGTTTCGTTTTGGGACGCGGCAGAACGCGGACGCCGAAGCGGCGGCGGCACCTGCTCTTCTTCGGGCAAATCCCATGATGCTGCTTCCGCACGCCTTTGTGCAGACTAGGGAGGCGAAACGCCCGGCATTATGGCCGGTGGGTGCCCGAAAGAGACAGTGCTGGCTGGAGCATCACACCTGGAAATGGTCACTATATATAGAGTCCTATCCAGCGCAAGACTTCTGCCATTGGGCGATTCCAACATTAGCTTACTTGAGATCCTTTCCAACGCAGTTGTTTGATGAAGAGCCGCGTCCCTTACAGAACTGGCTAGCTCTGCGCATTTGAGACCAGTGCTGTGGCCAATTGGAAGACTGGATTTTGCCCATTCAACCGGCCGCCGGAGAAAAAGAGACGCTCGTGGGTGGGGTATGGCATAAATACAATGTATAAGGTGACGAGTATCTCCTGATCTATACCGCAGACACTCCATGTATGCCATATATGCCGAGAAACGGCCGGGGTTGGTGCCAGAGGGGTCTGTCTGGGTGAGTTTTTTGGATCCCATTCCTATACAAACAAACCTCCCCCACACCCACACACACACACACACAAACGCACTTATGAAGATCCTCTGTGGCATCTAGACCCTTGACTTGACGGCTTCTTTCGCGCCGACGCAGCCGTGGCCCAGGCCTCTCAAGGCGCCGGGGGAAACCCTTTCGGCAGGGAACCGGGAACGCTGGCCAGCGCCCAAACGAGAAAGAATGGACCAGAATGGACATCAGACATGAAGGAACCTAAATAGCGATGGCCTCCAACCTAAGAGCGATGACCTACTAGAGGATTTTTCTGACTTAACCCTGACAGTCTAGTCATCCTGTGAGCTTCACTATTTTTACCACCATCCGTTCGAGGTCTCCCCTATACAACTTGTGGGCTTCCATCGGACACCCAGGCAGGATGGTCCTGGAATGTGTGGCTATGATTCTTCCTTTCAACCACCCGCACACATCCCAATTCCATGACAGTTCGTGTGGATGAATGCTTCTTTCCATGGTCCTCATATGTCCTGGTACACTCCCTGAAATCATCATGGTTACGTGGCATGGCATGGCATGGCCCAGGGACCCAAAGGTATTTGGGGTCCGAGGCCGCCAGTTCCAGGTTTCCCAGGGACCCATATGAGACCCATGAGTTCAGCGTTTTCCCCGGTCGGTCGAGTTCTCCTTCCAGGCCGCCTCCCCGAGGCAGGGGCCCCGATCGGCCCCGAAGAGACGTGAGGTTTGTGTGTCAAAGCCACCTGGGTGGCCCGAAAAAACACCTGGAGATTGAAGAGGTGCAATTCGCTGCGACCCCTGGTGGCGGTCATGATATTTTTGAGACCAAGCGATAGCACACGGATAGCCCTGCTGGGGATGTATCTTGGGCTTTGAGATCTACATTTGATACCTTGATTTTCGACTCGGGGTGCTGGTATCTTCGAGTGTGATGCGTGATGCCTCCAAATCCTTTGGAAGTTCAAAGGGAAGTGAGTTGGAGTAACGAGTAGACTTGAATTGGTGGCAAACGATTTCACTGTGTTTTACAAAGACCACTAATTCAAAAACACCCTCTTTCCTCTCTTATCCTGAGCCTCGCGCCATCCACGTTGTTGGTCATTGTACCCTCCCTGCAATAAAGATGGAAGTGGAAAACCACCCAGTTTGGTCTTCGGAACCATCATCTTCCCGGCCGCGTCATCCACGGTAACCATGGGATGATTTCAGGGAGAATACTCCCCTGCAGATGATCGTCGACTCTCCAAACCACTGGGTTGTAGAGAAACATGGTCTTCCACAGGTCATTTTCAGGGTCCGTCCAATGCGTTTGCAGGCGGGGTAAGCTCCGACTGTGTAGACCGTCCGCTGGGTAGAAAAGGTCCTGAAAGCATGTGGCTACCTTCTGGTATGACCCGGTTGGGCCAAGGTTGGGTCGTTCCAGGTCGGTTTCCCCGTGTTTCTGAACGGACCTCGGGGTGCGGGTCCCAAGACCAGTTCTGCCACCAGGAGCTGGGCCCATGGGCTCTTTTCACCCCCCAACACGCATGTTTGCTGTGCTCCAGGTAACCTGCCCCGCTGGGGATGGAAACGGGGTGTTCTCAAGCACGGGTCCTCTACCAGCACCTTATATGTGCCTTTTGGTTCCGTTCGCACGACCAATTGGTTGGGTAAAATCCGAGTGCACTGCAATCGGTGTTTTCGTTCGGGAAAACCTCGAAGGGCCGAGTCCTAGGTCCTATCCCGCAAGAGTTCTAGCCATTTGCAGGTGGTGCAGCTGGGTTGTCTTAGTCTTGGACAGCTATTTTCTAACGGAGACCCGGATCCGGACAGCTGTTTCTGCTTGGTTCTGGAGGTCTGCCAGCCATGATGAGGCTGCGGAAAGTGGCTTTGACACCGGGCGTTCGCAACCCATGCCAGGCATACCTAGATCTTCCAACGGTGCAACCAAGTAAAAGACGCTCAAGCCAGGGTGTCTTTTCAGCCAGGGGGTGCAACATTTCTGCCGAACTTGGTTGCTTTTATAAATGAAATCGCGCACAAGACATGCACGGTTTCAAGATCTAGGTATTGATCAGTTGAACCTGAAACTGGCTCGCGGAAGAGCACGTTGGTCTTTTGAAGGAGCAATCTGTATCCATGTCCTCCACGATAGTGAGAGTATCCTGCAACGGTCAACAGTGCCCAGCCACTTGCCATATATGCCATATATGCCTAGATTGACCCCCAAACCAAACCACCCCAACTGATCGGCATATCATATATGGCAGTCCCATGGAGGGTCTGGGGTGGTTTGGACTCGGAAAGACGCTCAACATGTGCTGCTCAGTATTGTTCGCATCGCTTGCTTCGGTCGTCTGCCTGGGGTGTCTGGCCTCCTTGGGCTCCGTTCTGCGACGCACTGGCAGAACGATTCGACAAGGCGACAAGGCTGGAAGCTCCCATGGTTTGGTAGAGGAAGCTATTTCCTGGTTTGCTCATAGACATGGACAGAAACCTACACCAACTGAGTATATCGAGGAAACTGTGCAGAAGGTCTGCTCGATGTCCGTTCGCGCCCCGTCGATGGTGCGTATACAGTCACAGTCTCCCGTTTCGTAACAGCACTGATGTGGAAAAGCCAGGCCACGTCCCACGTCCTGAAACCTTCGTTTCGGAGCCTCACCAACTGTCAGTCCTTCGTTTCCATGCAACAGCTTCCAAGAGAGGTTCAGTGACCTGAACTAGGACCTGTCACCTGGGGCACCCAACTGGGATAGTCGAACGTTCATACAACCTCTGTGACTTTTTTCCAACGTTTCCCGAAGAATCCAGTCTCTAAATGGGCATGCTTGGAGGTGGGTCCAATGCTTCGGGTACCGACCCGTTGCTACCGTAACGGATCCTAAGTTCGGTTTTCAGGAAGAAAAGCTACGGGCTTGGAGAGGTCCAGGATGGTCCAGGCTACAGTTCGTATTTGTCCAATTCTTTTAAAGATTTGCTGGTCGCTTTCCCTTCGTCCCTTCGCTCCACCAAAACCAACCGCCCACGGCACCGGCACGACAGCGGACGGCACCACGACAGGCTCCACGACGACCCCGCGACCTCGCGACGCCGCGAGGATTGGCCGTGGGGTGGCAGACC